TCATGAGAAGGATATCACATTTTGTTCTGGGATTGGATTAGCCAAAGATGCATTAGGAAGCACAAACATCATAAATTCAAAGAAAATACCTACATCTGGTCACTAGCCATAATCATCACAATTATGACAAATCACGGCTTGAACTATCTTGCTTTGCAAGTAATGAGTCTATCTCATATATTAGTTTCACCTTTTAAGTTGCATTAGTGAAATAAATGAACTTTTGCAGGATATTCTAATTATTCGAGTTTCACCCGTAAATGTTTTTAGTAATTGGTATGTAAAAATTGACTTTATTTTAAAAGGTTTTTTTTATTATTACATGGGGTTTAGCTTCTAGCTTCTGACTGATTGCTGTGAGGTTCTATGAGGTGTCTATTGCAGGGAGCAGAAAATGGACATGAGAGAAAATAATGATTTATCAGAAGAAATGTCAGTTCAATTAAATACATGATTGCAATAAATAAACAACTGTTCATTGAAAATAGTAATTTGCAGTGATGTACCAATACCATTTTCTCCGGATCATGTACAAGTACCGATACTTTTCCTCAAATACTCACCGATACCAATTGCCGATACTTTTTTAAGTGTCATGTGACAGTTTTTCTAAAACAATGCAGACTAATGATTTTAGGACAGTGGTGGAGCGCCAGAGCCCCGTCACCACTGTAAACACTGAGCCCCTGGTCATTCTGACACCGACTCCAAGCTGTAGAGAGACTACAAATCCCAGCAATATGCTATACAACAATGCAGAATAATACCACCAGATAGAGAGGACTACAAATCCAAGAAATACATTATACAATAATGCAGAATAATAACAAACAACATACTCTTTGTTGCTCACCAGGGCTGTGCGGCGTCTCAGGAGTCTGTGTGTGGTGTCACCAGGGCTGTGTGTGGCATTTCACCAGGGCTGCGTGCGGTATCACCAGGGCTGTGTGTGGCATGTCATCAGGGCTGTGTGTGGCGTGTCATCAGGGCTGTGTGTGGTGTGTTATCAGGGCTATGTGCAGTGCTACCAGGGCTGTGTGCGGTGTGCCACCAGGGCTGTATGCAGCCTCTCACCAGGGTTGTGTGCGGCGTGTCAACAGAGCTGTGTGTGGTGTCACCAGGGCTGTGTGCGGCGTGTCACCAGAGCTATGTGCGGCGTGTCACCAGAGCTGTGTGCGGCGTGTCACCAGAGCTGTGTGCGGCGTGTCACCAGAGCTGTGTGCGGTGTGTCACCAGAGCTGTGTGCGGCGTGTCACCAGAGCTGTGTGCGGCGTGTCACCAGAGCTGTGTGCAGCGTGTCACCAGAGCTGTGTGCTGCTTCTCATCTGGTCTGTGTGCGGCTTCTCATCTGGTTTGTGTGCAGCGGGTCACCTGGGCTGTGTGAGGCAGCTCTCAGGTGCGGGCGGTGGGAAGAAGAAGGAAGGGGAGGTGTGAGGCTGGACCCGCGCTGTAAAAGACAGCCGCCGGGAAGTCCCCATGAGGCTGCCTGAGGTCCCCAGCAAACGCAGAACCTCACACAGCCGCTTCCATTTAAAATTTAAAGTGCCGGTATTGGCGCTTAGTATCGGGGCATTTTCAGGAGTACAAGTACTCCTGAAAATGCCCAGTATTGGCACAGATACCGATATTAGTATCGGTGCATCCCTAGTCAATTGTCTAGCTTTTTTTTTTATTATCCTATTTGAACATTAGATGAAAAATCACCATTATAAACCAGTGTTCTTTATTCAATAATGCTTGCCACCTATGATCTATTAGATCAGCAAAACTGACCAATAACAGGGTTGCAGGACAAGGTAGCAGTGTCCTGCTTCCCCCAACTTACTAATGCTCACACACCCTGCGCTTCATTGCATCTCCTTGGAATTCTGCAGCTGGTGCTAAGATGTCAATCAAAGGAGCAGTGATGTTACAGCCTGGTCATGTGACAGTGCTTTGGCCTAGCAGCATGTAGCTACAAGGGATTACAGGTAAGGTGAGCACAGCGGAGTTGTGGGAGGCCCTTTCCAAAGACACTGTTACTTTGCCCTGTATGGGCAAGGTGACAGTGTTTCTTTAACATCAGATACTCTGTTATATAATTATAATAATGTTGCACTGGCTGGCATAATTCAACAATTCTCTTTTGTAACTGGTTGATTAAGGCAGACAGTTAAAGAGGAACTTAACCCACCAATTTAATGTCTCCCAAAACATTTACTTTTAAGGCATGCCAACTGTCAAGGTTTCCAGTGTGCTCATTTCAGCTCTCAACCGAACTTTCAAGCCATCAAATGGCTGGTGTCATAGCTGATCACATGTGCAGCACCATGGCAACTGCAATCCAAATAGAGGCTAAGATGGTGCTTTTCTTGGCTGTAAGGGATAGGAGGTTATTACAGTTGTGCTCATAAGTTTACATACCCTGGCAGAATTTATGATTTCTTTGGCCATTTTTCAGAGAATATGAATGATAACACGGAAACCTTTCTGTCACTCATGGGTAGTGTTTGGCTGAAGCCATTTATTATCAATCAACTGTGTTTACTCTTTTTCAATCACAATGACAACAGAAACTACCCAAATGACCCTGATCAAAAGTTTACATACCCTGGTGATTTTGGCCTGATAACATGCACACAGGTTGACACAAAGGGGTGTGAATGGCTATTAAAGGGAACCATCCTCACCTGTGATCTGTTTGCATGTAATCAGTGTGTGTGTATAAAAGGCCAATGAGTTTCTGGCCTCCTTACAGACCCTTGCATCCTTTATCCAGTGCTGCACTGACATGTCTGGAAAAAGATATCCAAGGAATTGAGAATGCCAATCAACAGTGTTCAAACTCTAATCAAGAAGTGGAACATGAGGGGTTCTGTTGAAACCAAACCACGGTCAGGTAGACCAACTAAACTGTCAGCCACAACTGCCAGGAAAATTGTTCGGGATGCAAAGAAAAACCCACAAATACCTTCAGGTGAAATACAGGACACTCTGAAAACATGTGGTGTGGCTGTTGCAAGATGCACAATAAGGAGGCACTTGAGGAAAGATGGGCTGCATGGACAAGTCGCCAGAAGAAAGCCATTACTACGCAAATGCCACAAAGTATCCCGCTTACAATACTCCAAAAGGCACAGAGACAAGCCTCATACCTTCTGGCACAAAGTGATTTGGAGTGATGAGACCAAAATTGAGCTTTTCGGCCACAACCATAAACGCTACATTTGGAGAGGAGTCAACAAGGCCTATGATGAAAAGTACACCATTCCTACTGTGAAACATGGAGGTGGATTGCTGATGTTTTGGGGATGTGTGAGCTACAAAGGCACAGGAAAGTTGGTCAGAATTGATGGCACCAGAATGCAGTATGTTATCAAAAGATACTGGAGGACAATTTGCATGCATCAGCCCGCAAGCTGCGCATGGGACGTACTTGGACATTCCAACATGACAATCGTGAAGCATCATCCAGCTGGGGGGAGGGGGGGGCCTTCATGGATTCTTGCATGGGGCCCTGAGGTCACTAGTTACGCCACTGATTATAAGAAAATCAAATATAAGACAATAACCAATATTTTTGCAAAGCCATAGGCATAAATTCATGTGTGCTTATTTCCTACATACCTCCATACTGTCCCTCATGTGGAAGGACTGTTCCTCGCTTGGAACCAAATCCCTCTGTCCTCCTTTCTTCCTCAGATGCACCAACATTTTGGCCACCAAAACATTTCGGCCAAAAATTGCACTTTTAGCAAATTGCTTAAAGTGCCATCTTCCGGCCGAAATAGCGGTGCATCCCCGGTTTCTCTCCTCCCCGCTTGGTGCTGCTCTGTGTCCCAACGGGGAGGAGAGAAACTGCCACAGGAGGCCAAGCGGTGCAGACGAGGAGAGCGCTGTGTTCGGCTGATGTCTCTCCTCCCGCACCGCTCAGCCTTCTGTGACAGATTAGGAGAGAGGTTTAGATTATTTCATTTGTTAATTTTTTAAAGCCAAAAAAAGGAAAAGTAGTAAAAGAAAAAACAAAACTATTTTGGCTTAATCAATCATTTTTCTGCATTAGTCCTCGTCTTTTGCACTATGGAGGTGTGGCAGTGGTGTGTCCTTTTCCTACATACTTCATGCTATAATGCTTACCTCTCTCCAATCTTGCATAGTTGGGTAGCATGTATCCTATATGTATACATAGCCAGTGAACTAAAGAACAGTACTTTTATGTATACCATCAGCTGACAAGAACAGAGGGCTGTAGTCCCAAAGATGTTTTAGTATAACAGTTTGCATTCACTGTAGAGGTAAGCATGTAAACTATTATGGAAACACACCCAAAAGCTGGGCAACAAAACATGTAGACAAGTCACTTATATGTGTCCACAAACCATAATGTTTACCCAATCACAAGCCAAAAACATGATTGACAGATGCCTATGATTTTGACAGGTTTGGGGGACAGCTGGGCAGAGCACAGCCTACAGACTACCACAATGTACATCATACAGGACCACTATTCAAAATCTTCAACATTTGAGCTATATTGGTTTACAACTGAGTCCAGCTTAGTTTGTTCTGTAAAATATAAGCAACCTGTCTATGTGTTTATAATCGGTAAACAAATTCTGTTCAGATTCAAATTAGATGCGAAGAGCAATGTTAAGTTGTCATGGGATGTTGTCAGAATCAGTAGGAACATACAGAAATATTACATTAGTCCACATGAGCTTAAGTGTCTTATGTCTAGGCCTTTCTGGAAAATGTGGTTGTTTGTTTCCATGCCTGGTCTCTAAAAAAAAAAAACACAAATGCACATCTTACAAAAGCGATCCTGTTTACAGAACGAGATGCTGCAGATTACTCATTGCTTCATGTGACAGCTCTGCAAACTTTCAGGGACCACAGGAAACTTGACCCTTCAGGACAAAAGGAATGTGTGACATGTCCGTCCCCACCATATGCATGTGACAGGCACACAAGTTATATATAGGATGTATCTGAGCAGCAGTAGAGAAAACACAAGCTAATCTTAGTGTGAGAGAATCATACAAGGCCAACCAAGAGCAATTCACCAGTGGGACCTCAGGGAAGAACTGCATACAGGACAAGGGGAGAGAAACAAGTGCATACAGAAGTAGAGCTAAGAAGACCCACACATAGCTCGGAAAAGAGCAAGACATTTGGAAAGCAGAATGGATTACAACCCAGACATTATCCGGGACAATAATCCCATGGACAGTTTGGAGAAACAGCTAATTTGTCCTATTTGTCTTGAAATGTTCCAGAAACCTGTTGTGATCTTGCCATGCCAGCACAACCTGTGTCGAAAATGTGCCAATGATGTGTTCCAGGTAAAGGGACTGATGCTTTGCTTTCTTTTCTGCATTCTTAATAATTGTACTTTAAGTTTTATAATGATGGAAGCAGTAATCTATTAATATCTGTGTCCTTTGAGCCTATGTAAAAGTATAGAGCATACTCTTACTAATTCTTTAACGTGAGCTAATGTGTTTAAAGATGGGACATTAGTAACATTCTTGAGAATTTATTTACATACACTTGCCCACTTTTTATTCTGGATTCTGTTTTACAACAACTGTATCATTGTTTTGTAGGACAAATATTTGCTCATCTACTTTAGTTGTATTGTGTATGTAAATTCTTATTGTTGTGCTGACATTTAAGATCAATTATTGCCAAGTTATGAACAGTTCTGTCACTGTAGGCTGGCAACCCATATTGGCCAACACGAACTTCTGTGTCGGGGGGAAAATTTCGATGCCCAACATGCCGTCATGAGGTTATTTTAGACCGTCATGGAGTTTATGGGCTGCAAAGAAACCTACTTGTAGAAAATATAATAGACATCTACAAACAGGACTGCAGGTAAGCAGCAATGGGGAAATGTATTAGGCCAGTAATTGTGAGGGCTGATTTACATCTATGTTGTGGGAATTACTACATAGCACGGCACTGCAGGTTACATGCATTGATGTATTGTGGTGCCATTCGTTTTGACTATTGGGATAATGCACCAAATGTGACGCACTTGCGTTGCAATGCACTGCAAAGCAAGGTAGTGTACCACAGTGCCATGTGGCAATACTGGACTTTTGGGGCATAGGAAGCCCATTGATTTCAATAGGTTGCCCTAATTGAGCGCATTAATGCATGGAATAACGCTTATTAAGGCAGCATACAAATGTAAATGGGCTCTGAATATATAACAATGCAGTACGTGTATTTTTTAGACTTTCAATGTGCCACAAATATCTACTGGGCACACTTTTGCTAGTAGTGATAAACCACAAAACGGATGTATGCTTTTCTAGTTAGTTATTTAGTAATGTTTTGGTGTCATACTTATGCTTCTGATCTTCATGCGGCTCTTTTTGATTACATGTGTTTAGTCGACCCGAGAAGAAAAAGGAGAACCTTCCAATGTGTGAAAAGCACGAAGATGAAAAAATAAACATTTACTGTGTCACCTGCCAAGTACCTACCTGTTCCATGTGTAAAGTGTTTGGCGCCCATAAAGACTGTGAAGTGTCACCTCTCCAGAATATATTCCAGACTCAGAAGGTGAGAGCCTGAGGGCTATAAATACACCAAAGGATTACTGTAAAACATATGGCTTTGGCATTTTAAAAGCATTCCCTAATCTAGCCAAAACAAAGAACTCTGGCAAATCATTACATAGACTTTAGGATACAGTAAATTACCCATTTCTTAACTGAGACTAATCATGTGATACAGAATACATATAGGGCCAATGGATTATCTACAAGGCGTGTGTGTTCTCCCTTTGGCCATGTGGACTTCATCTGTATACTTCGGTTCGCTCACAAGACTTTAAAACAGGGCTGGACAAATCCTAGGAGCAAAGTAACCAATACTTCCTAAAAATGATAGCTGGTGCTGGCTCCTGCATTAGCACATTGGCTCCTGAACTCCATATTCATTTGTCCACCTCTGCATTAAAATACTATTAGACTGGATACATTGTCGTACTGTGCTCACATTTGCCCACATTTGTCTGTCTTGGATAGGATAACTAGATGTTAGCAAAAATGGGGCACTAATTGATGAAATACTTGAGAATACAATACCTTGTATGCCACACTTAAGAGTACTTATACCCTGTACAGCATTTGCAGTATGTGGTCACTATGTACATACAGACTGATGAAAAAATTATAGTCAGATGGCAAATAACATGCAGTGCACTTCACATTAGGTATTCTAAATCTTAAAACCTGACAATTCTATCTAGAATTGTCACATTGATTTTATAAGATGTTTTTTTGGCTAATGTCATCCTGCCAAGTAAATCATTAATCGCAAGCCTCATGGGGTTTTTCTTTTGCTGCTTGTGCTGCAGCACCTCTTATCTACATCAATAGTGGATTCTTATTTATAAGTAGAGCCCAGCCAGGTCACCTGTTATATTTAGAAAGTGTTGAGGCTGCAGCCAAGTCTCATAGGGCCACAGCTGTGTGGGGGTGTGAGGGCACAACAGGTTGGAGTGGGATATTTGAGATGAACGCTATTATAGGTTGTGCAACATTCAACATTCTGTTTCAACAACTTAAAATGTCTTTTATTGGCTCTGTTTTTTCAGCTCTTCCTATAATCCCCCCGATTATTGCCCATTAATACTCCAAAAGGACAAGTATGACTAAAATATACTTTTAAGTTAAAGAGTAATATCATTCATGCCTTTATATCCGTAAGAACTGTATTGTATTCTGTACACAGTAAAATATTTGGTAACACATTTACATAAGCTACAAAGTTATAATTAGGTTATTGCTCTATTTTGCCACTCGGAGAAGCTGCCTATAGCCTCATTCAGTGGGAACACCAACAGGAAACCTATAAGATTGTAATACAGTGGCATTGCTAACTTGTATTTAAAGATGCACTTTCTTTTCCTTACAGATAGAGCTCAGCAGCTGTATATCGATGCTGGTTGCTGGTAACGACAGAATTCAGTCAATCCTTGGCCAGTTGGAAGAGTTCTGTAAATCTGTAAAGGTAAAATATGAGAGTATATGTATGTGTTGCACTGCGTTCAGAAACACATGTGTATTCTATAGACACTTTGAGCAGAAGCCAGTATGTAAGGCAAATCAAGGCAGTCCAGAGTAGTGGAACACAACATCTGCATTCATATGAAAGATGATTCCATAAACAGTAAACAAATCTATTTAAATGGACAACAAATACACATAAAATAGTGCCACATAATACTAAAATTATGTTTTCTTATAAGGACCTGTACATACAAATTTTGTGTAGTCATTCAAACTGTGCTTTGCCAGTTAAGAACAAAGCAGTTAACTTCATTGCTGTCCTCCACAGCTTCATCTGCCTACCTTTTACTGCCCAGTACTGACACACTTCCCTTCCTCCCATGTCACAATGCTGGTGCTTAGCGATAGATTGCTCAGGTGCAGGAAGAAAGTTCTCAGCTCTATGAATGCTCCAAGTCATGGCCTAGAGCAGTGGTTGTCAACTGATGAGCTATAGGGGACTTCAAACACCGCCCTTGATGTCACCAAAGGACCACACAAAATATTCAGTATATATAAAGCCTGAAAAGACTGGCAGAGACTGCAGACATAATGATGGTCAGAGGCTGTGGACATGCCACAGGTTTTGTTGGAGACTGGAGATATGCTGCAGAAGACAGTAAAGGACTTGGGACTAGCAGAAATCACTGCTATTACAACTTTACAAATTATAATTCTAACTACAGACTGCTAGGGTCTAAGGGCCACACAACAAGCACTGAAGGACCACACATGGCCCTTTGGCCGCAAGTTGGGCACCAGGGGCCTAGAGCTTACATAGGGCATGTTGTCTTTTCTTCAGAATACAGTGGTGGGGGAGTGAAAGGAAAGAAAGTATGTATAGCTGGGGAGGGCAGCAGAGAATTGAACTTGTTGCTTTGCTCATTCACTTTAAACAGATAAGAAGACATTTGAAAAGATTGTTCATCCAGTAGAAAACTGACAAAAAAAACATTCCAGTTCTACAGATCGGTTAAAAATGGCAACCTTCATGTGCAAAAGACCTGTATGACCCTTTTTAGATGAAGGAATATTCCACTTCAGAACACCTGTTTCTTTAGACCCCTGTCTTATATCTATGGCTAGCCTAAAGTACGTAGCGCATACAGTACAGTCAAATATAAATTGCATGGTCAAACAAGGTAACGCAAATTATGACCACTAAACTGAGCCTGGGAACAAGTTCTCAGATATTAAGAAAATACTTTTTATGACTATATAGGAGAACAGTCAAAAGAAGAAGGAATCTGTGAATGAGTTATTTGGAGAACTGAGCAGAGTCCTGGAAGAAAAGAAAGCTGATCTTGTACAAAGGATATCACACGCTGAGGAGGAGAAGATTGACTTTGTGCACACCCTCGTTGCCAATTATCAGGAGCAACTTCAGTCCTGTTCCAAATTGCTGCAAAGTGCACTTCAAGCTTCTGAACAGTCTGGCCATGCTACTTTCCTGTTGGTGAGTCTTCACACTGCTGAAGTTATCTAATCATATAAATAGAAGGATCTCATAGCTTCTATTATCATGCCATCACATGATATATAATATGATATAATATAATGTTACATATACTTAAACCAGAACCAGTTAAACATGGCCATTTTATATTGCTGCAGAGTGTAATCAGGGGCGTAACTAGAAATCACAGGGCCCCATAGTAAAATTTTGTATGGGCCCTGTGATTTTTAGTTACACCCCTTGAAGAGCCCACATAGCTCACCTGATGGTGACCCTGCAGAGCCCACCATAGAGTGTCTATGGTGGGCTCTGCAGCGTCACCCTCAGGTGGGCTGGTCACACTCCTTACCTGTCCGCCTCTTCTTCCTCCGTCTTCCCTCCTCTGTCGCCGGGCCCACTCCGTCCTCCGTTGCCGGCCCCGCCTCCTTCCCTGATGCTGACCCCCGGGCCCCACCTCCTCCTCCCCGCCACGTCCAGCCTCCTCCACCGCCGCTGCTAACTCTCACTGACTCAGC